TGGACAATAAATATGACCAGAATGACAAGATTGTCCGCAAAATGAAGGTTTTGGGTCACATATTTCAACATCCAAACTTCTTAATGTAGAGCTTATCATTGATGCCGACATAATGTTATATGTATTTTGTTTAATAGAATTATATACGTCTTCATCATTGTCAAGTAATTCACCATTATTCATCCTTTGATTTACGGTAAAACTAGCTAATATTGACTTGTTTGTAGCAAAAAAATTATTGTGTAATGTATCTTCAAAATGAAATTGGAGATTTTCACTTGCGGCTGATAGATATGATGAAATATCTGAATATGTTTGATTATTGCCGGTAAATGATTGATGAACATTGTCCATTAAACTCGGAAGAAAGTATGCATTCACCAAGTTAGCCTTAAACAATCCTAAATGTTTATCCGGCTCTGTATCCCTCTTTCCGAGTTTAGAAGCCTTACCGATAGCTTTTAAGATTTCCTCCATATCCGGATTTCCTTCTCTTGCATAGTATGATGAAACAAATTCGTCATCAAATTTTACGGTCTCGCCTGACGTATCTTTCCACCATTGGGCCCATTTTGTTAGCTGTCTATCTTTATAAGCTATCGCTGCTTCTCTGGCTGCCGTTGCTTCAGCTGTTGTTTCTTCAGCTGTTGTTGCTACAACATCTTCTGCAGCACCAATATCGGCAGCGATTTCGGTGGTGGTTTCCACGGCCCCTAACCATCCTGCGCCGACAGCAAAGCCGATTAAATAAGATCCAGCCATACCAAGAGCAAGTGAAACAACTAAAATGCTTACAGGTATTAAAATCTCTTTGATCAAGTTTCTTTTAGGCGGTGGCGGCGGCGGTGGGATCAATTCTTTTAGATTATCGGGGGTTATTTTAACACTTAGTTCTCTAAGGGCATCATGGAACCCTTGATGGTGTCTCTCCCAATAATTGAATAGCTTGTTTGCCGAATTAATCATGTGATATGTGGCAACATCATAACCGTCAGGACTGAACGAGCTTCCTGAACCGAACTGAAGAGATGCAGCATATGTTCCAACTTCATTACCAGTCAAATGATCGATGCATTCAGCTATATG